ATTTCTTATTAAGTTAATCGGTATTTCCTTTTTCGATAATCGTATCGATATTTTAAAATACTTCTTTTCGACATAAAGAAGGTACTCTTATTAAAGGTCTAGTTATTCTTCGTTACGGCTTTTTCGGATAATACCTAGCTCTATTTTTATTTAATTAATAATTTTATAATTATCGTCGTAATACGCGACCTAGCTATAATAAACGTAATCCATTTCCTTTTTTTCAGTAGTTATTTAATCGATCTTTATTTTTTCTATAATCCTTATTATTACTTCGGTATTTTCATTCTTAGAATTATTCGATTCCGGGACCTTTTTTTTCGACTTATATTCGCTTTTATAATATCTACTATATTTCTAGTAATTAAAGTACTTAATTTTATTCTTATCCTTTTTTTCCTATTCCTTTTTATAGCATCGATATTTATCGTTTAAATAAATTTTTAAAGTAATACTTTTAAGCTTTAACTTTCGTCGTTTATAAACGTAAATAGTTTCTTTCTTATTTTCTTATTTATATTTATACTACCTATTATCGATTTTAATAGTTATTCATATAAACTTATCGAATTTATCCGATTAATTTTATCGGTATATCTTGTCTTTCATTTATTGGTTAAGTCGGTTATAAAATATTCGAATTAGGGCTATATCGTCGAAGTTAATATTATTCATATGGCTTTTAAATTCGCTAGCGTAAGTATAAGTTCATTTCATTTATATAAGGCTATTTTATCGTCGTTTTATCGTTTTAGTTTTATTTAAATCTCTAAAGATAACCTTCATTTTTTTTCGAAGGCTTCGTAACTTTTAAAGATCTCCTTCGTTTCGTCCTTTGTTTTCTTACAAGAGTTTTTAAAGGTTAAAAAGTCTTTAATAATATACGCGAATTAATTATTAGCCTTACTTATTAGGCTTTAAGCTATGGTTAAGATTTCTTATTCGGGCTTTTTAAAATAGTTTTTATAAAAGTTTAAAAATACTTTTTCTTAAATAAGAAATCCTTTTAAATCTCCTAGGCTATTATAGCTTTAAAGCTATTTTAATTTATATCCTTTAACCGTAGTAAAAATTATAAGATTACTACCTTTTAATACTGGTATTAAGGTTTTTAACGTAGACATTTCGTTATTATTATCGTCGTCGATACTTAGGCCTTTCAGGTTTCTAATTAATTCGGCTCCTTCTCTTTTAAAGCTTTTTATTTATACTAAATTCCTAAGGTTTTCTTTAAATAGTTTATCTTCTTTCGGAAAAATTAAACTACTCAGAGAATTATTATTCGTAAAAATTCGTAATCATTTTTCGTTTAAGGATAGATTAATTATTAAAGTCCTTAAATATTCTTTAGATATTAAAGGATCGCTTTTTAATTACGTATATCCTTAAAGGATATCGTTTATTTCCTTCGATATTTAATTCCATAATTAAGGAATAATTAAAATATTATAATCGTATCATATTCATTAATAGTAATAAGTAGTAAGGATATTTATTCCAAAATATTAATGAATCCGTTATAGTTATATAACCGGCACTTTATATACTTTTTAATTTTACGATTAAGGTACGTATTAAATATAAATCATATACTTAAAATTAATAATTAAAAAGTTAAATAAAACTTATTTAAAATAAAGAAGATAATTTATTCCTTGTATAGGCCTTATTTATATAATAAGTAATTATTTCGATTAATAAACGAATCTTTTCTCATCTCCGGGATTTATATAATTACGAGGTATCGTAAAATTACGAGCTTCGTAGAACTACGAGCCGCCGTAATTCTACGAGTATTCTTAACGTTAAGAAACGTCGTGATATAATTAGAAGTAAAATAACCTTGCTTTTACTTAGTATACCTATACCTTCCCCTCTTATATTTTATAGTCCCTATAGTTTAGTACCCTCCTAACCGTAGTTTCTAATACTTTGCTACGAACCTAATCAGGAACCTACTGATTAATACGAAAACCTATAAACGATACCGATACGCGAATTAAATAAATATTACATAAAATAACTTCAGAAAATAATTATAATTATAAAAATAATTAAAATAATACCTTAAGACCCTTCTTATTGCCTTTACCGATATATAGTTCGTAGGAAAGCCTTAAAAGCCTTAGGATTACGTATAGGGAAGGGATCGAGGGTTAAGGGAAGCCCGGTAAATACTATTAAATAAATAATAGTTAGGAATAATTAAGAACGAGTTATAAAAACGGATATTAAATAAGATATATTACGTTAGTTTATAGGATTAGGATTGAAAAAAAAGGATCGGTAAGAGTCACAAACGAAAAGGACGGAGATTACGCTATATCGTATAGGGTTTCTTTCGTTTCTTATAGGAGCTACGCTTATTTTAATCTATCCATTATAATTTACTTATTTCCTAACTATTAATCCCTATCATTTCTTAATAACCTTTTAATGAAACTAACTCGCTCCTAATTAATTAAGGTTAATTAAGACTAGGTTGATTAGGTTAATTTATAGGTTATAGCTCTCCTAACCTAGTTATTATCGGATCTTTTTCACTATTTCTTATCAATCGTTAATTAAATTAACTTAGCTTTTAATTAACAGCGATTAAATATGTTCGGAATTAATCAGATATAGCTAGGTACGGTTATAATTACTTACCCTACTACTTATTTATTACCATTATAATTGTTCCTAATTATTAAGATTACCTTATTTCTTTCTAACTTATCTTACTAACCTTTAATCAAACTAGCTAGCTTTTAATTAATTAAGATTAATAAGAAACGAGAACTAGCGTACACCTATTATTATAATAAGAGTTTAATTACTCCTTACGGAATAATTACACTAAGGAAGCTATAGTAATACGGTAGGACTATGCTACGTAGCCTTTTAGATATATATTTATATAGGTTTTGTACTTATATTTTCATTAATTAAACTTAAACCTGTAGCTATTACTATAGGCATCACAACCTATAGCATTTACTCGTTTCCTGCCATGCCTTTTCTCGTTATCTAGCCATCTCTTCTTTATAGTCCTTTCCTAGCTACCGTTTTTGGCTAGCCGATTAACTAATTAGCTATTTATAGCTATAATTTAGGTTAATCGGTACTGGGCTAGTTATTAATAGTTAGGTAGCCGTTTTCGTGCCTCCATTACAGCCTACCTACGCTGCTCCTCTTTAATATATATCTTTTCAAATAACCTTAAAATATATAATATTTAACTTTTAATAAAGTAATGAATATATAGGTATATTCTATTTATGAGAAAGTAATATTTTATAAATTTTATATTATATAACGTTATAATATATATATATATTATTATTAAGATTACATACCTTTTTCTTTTAATTATTATATTTAATTTATATGTATTATTAATGTTTTTCATTATATATCTTTTTAAGGAATAGATAAGATATAATAGTATATAATTATAATAATTTTAAATCTTTCTTTAATAAAAATGATGAATCTTTAATAAGAAAATATTGTTACGAGTTACAAAAAGCTTATATCTATATTACGTAAAGAATCATACTCTTTATGAGCCGTAATATCTAAAGAAACTCATGTCAATTTAAAGAGCTCAAAAAGACGATTCAATTAATATAACTTATAACCTTTAAATTTTTATAATAATAACGTTATACGTATTTAAAAATAGCAACTTTTCTGTTTTTTAGTAAGGATCAGGGTGGCCTGTGGTTATGTAACAGATGGAATAGTTTACAGTAAGTTAAAGTTATATAGTAATAACGAATAAAAGGTATTTTAAAAAAAAGAATATATTTTATTAACGTTAAACGTCGCTATTTGTACGAAATTCGAAACCGGAAACGTAATCGCTTTATATATAAACGACTTCTCATTATTTAGACTTGGAAAGAAGCGATTTTACGTGCTTATAAACCTTACTTTATAAAAAACGTCCCGGTAAACGGTTCAAAAAACGTTAATGAATTTTTAAAGTCTGAATAGAACGATTATTTCTTACAGAAAACGTTCTTTTCGATTAATAATAATATACGGAAAAGGTATTAGAAAGGCTTAATTATAGTAACGTAAAGCTATATCTATTACCGTATAACTTGAAAAATCGAAACGCGGTTATATTAAAAGAAATCGACGCCCTAATTAATCTACGAATGACCTAAAAGTATATCTTTTTAGTAGAAAAAGTAAACTTTTCGGCGTATATTGTAGTAGTGCGGTGGATCTAGGCTACGTAGCCTTTTGGATGTGTATTTATATGGGTCGCGCACTCATATTTTCATCAGTTAGACTTACTCCTATAGCCTTTAGAAAGACATCACTAGTTACAGTTATTCACTCGTTTCTTGCCATGCCTTTCTAGCCTCCTTTTTCCATCCTGCCTTTCTAGTCTTTTCTTTGACTGCCGTTTTCAGCTGGCCGATCAACCGATTACAGCTGCTTACAGCTGTGATCTAGGTCTGATCGGCACTGAACCAGTTGTTGGCAGTTGGGTAGCCCTTTTCGTGCCTCTATCACAGCGTCCCCACGCTGCTCCTATTCAGTAGATAGCTTTAATTCCGTCAATAGTTTACCCCTATCCTTGGATGACTATAAGTTTAAATTTTATAATAATAAAACTAGAAACCTGTCTACCTTCTTCGAAGCTGTAACTATTTACTATTGAAAAAACTAGAACTGCTTTTATGAGGTAAAGGAAAATATAAAATAAACTATACTAAAAGAAGGGAGGTATATTATAGTTTTAAGAGCTATTCGCCAAGTAAAAGCTGCATATTAACAATTTAAAGCTAGACAAGGAAGAAAAGGCAGGAAAGTATACCTTATAAGCCGTATTTATAATAGCTAGCTTTATTCTATGTAGGTATTGAGGGGCTAATTACGTACCATGCCCTAACACTAACTAAGGCCCTATAATAAGCACAGCCTATAACAAGGCATAACTTAACTATATTAAGAACTGCCTTTAAAAAAGATAATATAACTTAAATAATAAAAAAAAATAAATCGCATTATAAGCACGCAATAATGCTAAATAGATTATAAACAATACTGTAAAAATCCTAACTTAATACGCCCCTAGTACCCTATAAGACGTCCGAGATAGCTATAAGCAGTCTCTATAAGCGTTAATTACTACTATTACTACTATTACCATAGCAGGGCACGCCGAGCTCTACCGGGCCTTGCCGCCAATTACCGCTATACCAGACTGTAAACGTATCTGTTTTATCTGGTTGGATTAACCCTTTTTTCTTTAAAGACCTGTAACCCTCTCGCCTGATGAATGGTCGATCGTGGAGCCCCTGCGAAGTTGGTTTGTCGAGCTGTCGAGCGACAAGGTCCCAATTAAATCTTACGACCTTGCCCTACAACATTCGATCGGCCAGGGCGTCTTCTTTCAGCCCTGCGTTTGTTGTATCTCTATAAAGGATCCCTCATTCCTCTGCTGTGTGGCATGATGTCCAAGGGACGCCTTGGTCAGTTTGTACTGTTACGGTCACCTCTCCCCAGAGCCGGTCGCCCTCCTCAACGATCATTTACAACCGGGGCCAACGCGGCCAATACCTCCCGCTGTGGTAATAGAATTGCTGCCGCTGCCATTTCATTATCCGGCCTAGTCTATGCAATGGTATGTCGTCCCAATCGTTGTGATACCCTCCCCTCATTCCCTCCGACTGGGAGAGATCGAACCGACCAAACGATAACCGTGGGTTGCTCCTTCTACAGACGTCCCATAAGCCGGCCAAATTTGACGCGCGCTCCCTAGCCGAGCTCGACGAACGGACGAAACGTGAGCAGGGCATCGACGAGAATTCGCCCATGCGCCTGCGTATGGAGCAGTTCATACGCGAACAACAGAAGGCCATAGTCTTCGAACTTGAGAAATTGGACGGCAAGAGCTTCCGAGAAGACACATGGACGCGGGAGATGGGGGGCGGTGGTGTCTCGTGTGTGTTGCAAGAGGGAAATGTGTTCGAGAAGGCTGGCGTGAACATCAGCGTGGTGTACGGGACGCTGCCGAAGCCGGCGATCGCCAAGATGAGGGTGAACCATAAGAACCTCGTCGACGCGGACGAGGTTGACTTCTACGCGCTCGGCCTTAGCATGGTCCTTCACCCCCAAAATCCCATGGCGCCAACGGTACACCTTAATTACCGTTACTTCGAGACGATGTTGCCAGATGGCAGCTCCCAAGCCTGGTGGTTTGGCGGTGGTAGCGACCTGACCCCGAGCTACCTGTTTGACGAGGATGCGGTGCACTTCCACAGGACATTGAAAGAGGCCTGCGACAAGCACAATAAGGAGTATTACCCCAGATTTAAGAAATGGTGCGACGAGTACTTCCGCAATACGCACCGGGGCGAGTCTAGGGGGGTTGGTGGGATTTTCTTCGACGATTTGGACGAGAGTGTGGCCGATGCCGACAATACGTTCGCGTTCATCCAAGACTGCCTGAGAAGCTTCTTGCCTTCATACCTGCCCATTGTCCAGAGGAGGAAAGACATGCCCTTCACCGCTAAGGAGAAGGAGTGGCAACAGGTGCGAAGAGGGAGGTATGTCGAGTTTAACCTCGTCCACGACCGGGGCACCGCTTTCGGGTTAAATGTACCTGGATCCCGCGTTGAGAGCATCCTGATGAGCCTTCCGTTGACTGCATCTTGGCGATATATGTACGATCCAGAACCGAGAAGTCGAGAGCAAAGACTCGTCGAAGTCCTGAAGGACCCCAGAGAGTGGGTGTGATATTGCCTACACGTGGGTAAGTGAGATACTAACGATAGTAAACTGTCCATACTGTGTATCGCTTCAGAAAAAGAAAAGACGTAAGAGAAGACATGTATAAAGAGAGACTGTACATAGAAGGAGTTAGGTACAACTAGTATAATATATACATTTATAATGTATACCTCTGCCTCTCTCTCTTTTCACTATAAGAATAACAGATCTAAGATATAATCTAGCAACGCGGCTAGGTTTTACATTATTTAGTATCTTGGTACTTATCTTAAGCGTGTATAGGTGTATATTCTACCTTTAAGTACTTAATTCATTTATTAAAATACGTCGAAGTACTCTGCGTCTCTAAGTTTTCGTACCGAAAACCTAGAACCTCTCCGAAGGCCGAGGAAAAAGGAGTAAGTAATGTAATAGGCTATGCCTATAGTAGGGCCCTGGCTAGTGCCAGGGCATAGTACGTAATCAGGCCCTTAGTACCTACGGAAGATAAGGCCAGCTATTATAGGTACGGTCTATACGGCGTACCTTTTTCTCCTTTTTCTCTTCGTTTAGTTTTAGTTTATTAATATACGGCTTTTACCTAGCGAATAGCTCTTAAAACCGTAATAAAAAGCTAAACTAACCTTCTTTTATCGTTTTACGGAAGTAGCATTAAAGCGAGCGGAATTAGTAGTAGGAACGGCGATATAGCCTTTAAAAAAGCGGTATTAAGCTAGTAGTCGGAAAGGCGGTATTAGTTTTAGATATACGCGCCGGCGGTACCTACGAAAAGGACCGACGAAATAGTATCTTAATACGCGGGATTAGTAGTAGGAAAGGCGATGCCGTACGGTAAAGTTAATAATCGGAAAGGCGGTATTAGCTTTTGGATATACGCGCCGGTAGTACTTACGGACGAGGATCGATATAAGATAACTAAAGAAACGACCGATAAACCCCGAGAAAAACGTAGATTTAGACGGTAATTTCGAAATAAGAACGATAAAAAATACGGCTAAAAACGGCGGAAAATTTTTTTCCGGAGAAAGATAGTAAAGCGTTAGAGTATAACGCTTATCGACGAATTAAGAACGCCCGAGGCGTAATATAAAGAAGGAACGGCGTTAGAATAGCGACGAAACGATAGGTTAAGTTAGGATAATAGTACTTCGATAAGAGCGCTAGCGGCGCTAGTAGTAGACGGGAGGACGCGCCTTAGTACGCCTTTAGGCGGAGCCCTTAGCTCCGCTAGCGGAAGATAAACGATAGTCTTTAAACGAATAGGAACGGCGTGCCTTAATACGTCCTCCGGCGGAGCCTCGCGGCTCCGCTAGTAATACGGATAAGCCCCTGGCCTTTAAACGGAAGGATAGGCCCCTAGCCTCTAAACGGTAGGAGAAGCCGTAGGCCTTTTAACGGCAGTAGATAGGAGGGCGCGCCTTAGCGCGCTCTTAGGCGGACCCCTTTAGGCTCCGCTAACGAACGGAAGATAAACGATAGTCTTTAAACGAGTCGGACGGCGTACTCTAGTACGTCCTCTAGCGGATCCGACGGGATCCGCTAGCGAAAGATAAACGAAGGTCTTTAAACGGCGGTAGACGGACCGACGATTCCGTAGCTACGGGAGCTAGGCTAGACCTAGTAGGCGCTTATAAGCGACTTCGTACGCGGGGCTTTAAAGCTTTACGGTTTAATAAAAGGATCGGAACTAGTAGTTCCGGGGAAGTAGTAATACCCCGGGAAACGAAAATAATAGCCCGGGAAGCGGATAACGTAACCCAGGAAACGGAAACGGCGGAAGAGGAAATCCCGGGGAAGAATAAGACCCGGGGGAAGAACGCCGGGAAGCTAAAAGCGCCCGGCGTAGTATCCCGGGAGACGAAAGACCCCGGGAAAGAAACGGTAAACGAGGAGAAGATCCCGGGGTATAATATAACCGCCGGGAAAAAGAAGAAGGAGGCTATACCCGGGGGGCATTAATACCCCGGGAAACGTACGAACGAAAGAAAGCCTAGGAATATATTAATACCTTAAGTAACGGAGTTAGTAACCCGGGGAGCGAGTAGCGTACCCCGGGGGACGGAGGTAGTACGTAAGGATGCGATACGTATCCTAAGGCGCGGGAAGAAAACGGGTTAGGTTATTAGGGCTAGACGCCGAAGAAAAGGGCGGTAGGGCGTACTTTTTTTTTTCCGGGAAGGGATCTTATATAATAAGCTATACTTATAGTAAGGCCTTAACTAATACTAGGGTATAGTACGTAATTAGGCCCTTAATACTTAGGGAAGATAAGGCTAGCTATTATAGGTACGGCTTATACGGCGTACCTTTTTCTCCTTTTTCTCCTCGTTTAGCTTTAGTTCATTAACATACGGCTTTTACCTAGCGAATAGCTCTTGAAACCGTGATAAGTAAGAATCGACGTTTAAACTGCGAAAAGAAATTAATTAATAATCGATTTTTAATTAAACGGAGAGAAATTAACCTAGATTAAATAGGGAGAAACTAACCTAGATTAAACGAGGAGAAATTAACCTAGATTAAATAGAGAGAAACTAACTTAGATTAAACGGAGAGAAACTAACTTAGATTAAACGGAGAGAAACTAACTTAAATTAATTGATTTTATATAAATAGAATTAAAAAGGTAGGAGATCGACGTGTTAGTAGGTAAATAATAATAGACGCGTATTAAGAAGGAGCAGAGCGTACGCGATACTGGAAACCCGGATATGTTTACTCGAAAGTATATTCTATCGAAGACTATAGTACGTACGATGGTTTAAGATAGATGAAACTAATATCGCTATACTAATCGAGAGATAAGGAATCTTATGTAATTATCGTATCTTAGCTATGCCCCTTGGTCGTAGAGATGTAGTAGTCGCTAGCCCGAAGGTATAAGAGGTAAGGAAAGAAAAGGGGTAAAACGTAAAAGTTACTTATTCGGCTATAGCGGTACGATAAAGCAACTTAAGCGCCTATAACTAAGATAAATATACTAATCGGAGAACGACGAATCTAATAATAAAAACGAATCTTTAATTAAGGTAAAAATAATAAAGATAGTAATCTAGCTAGGTAATGGTCTAGATAATAAACATAGCATATCCTATACTTACGGGAGCTATGGTTACTTTATATAAATATAAGGCCTATCGTAACGTATTACGTAATATATTAAGAGGATATATCTTACCGTATTACTATAGCCTCCTTAGTTTAATTATATCGTAAGGAATAATTAAATTAAAAAGGGTAGTACGGTATATTCCGATTAATATTTCCCTTTAAAAACTACCGCGAAACTCCATTCTACCGGCTACTATCTAACTACTACCGTTACGCCTTTAACTTCTCGTTTAATATTATAAGGAGGCCTTTTTATTACTTTACGACTAACTTAGCCCGGTTTATCCTTACCGATCTAACCCGATCGGCGTTCTCTTTTTTTATTTCGGCTACCTTTTTCTTAGTTTCGTCCTAGCCCTCCTAATTAAGGGGATGGTAGGGAAGCGGGCGCGTCCCGAGGGTTAATTAGGTATTTTTCCTCTACCTATACGGTATAGAGGTCTTCCCCGACTAGAAAGCCTTAATCCTTTCTAGTCCGGGGGAAGGGAGGAGGCGCGTTATAACCTTAACGAAGTTATCGTAACGGAGGTTTACGTCCGTTAATACGAAGGAGTAAGGGGGGTTAAGTATTAAGGCTATAGAAAAACGGCGGACTTCGGCTTACGCGATAAACCGAACGGAAGATTTACGGCTAAGGAGCTTACCGATCGGCGTACTTTACGCCGAGGCTATAGCGTTAATAAGGTCGATTTACTTTTAGTAATTTACGGTTTACCGGAGACGCTTAACGATACTAACCCCTTCCTTTAAAACCTAAACGTTATAAAATTACTCTACTACCTCGGCGTATTCTTTTATAATATTAAGGGAATTAAGCCCCTTATTTTTTTAGGCTTAGCGCGCGACTTCGATCGGTCGTTTAAAGATACGATACGGTAGAATACCGCTTTAAAAACCGTAACTAAAGTTATCTTATTAGTTTATTAACGCGACGTAGTAAGTAAACTAAGGGGTTATATCGGGCTCGAGACTACCGCCTTTTTAGGCTCGCTATAATTAACCGAGCGCGTATACCGCCCGATCGAAGGCGCCGTTTTTAATTATATTAAAGCTATATAATCTTCGGAACTTAAGGAGGTATAGCGTTACGGCGAAGTAGGCCTAAAAGAACTTCGAGGGGTCGGTAATAACTCGTTCGGGGTTTATTAGATCCGTATAAATCATAAAGACTAAAGTAAAGGCGGGATTATCGAAAAGGTATCGGCGGGTTAGGAAATCGAACGATTCTACCGATCGATAGCTTATCGTTTAATATGGGTTTACTTCGAAGGCCGCCTTCCTATCTTTTAGGTCGTAACTTATTATGATATAAAAGATACGGATATCTTCGTTAGTAAGGTAGTCGTAACGGGCGATATAAACGAGAGAATTAGCTAGGGCTACCTTCGTTTACTCTTATTACTATTAATTTATGGTTCATGGCCGATTAACGGATAGCCGGAATCCGGCTTAGGCTATATCCCATCTTAGTTCGATCTAGTCCCTCCCCGAATCGTAATTATCTAGAGTATTAAGTTAATACTCCTCTATATTACTTTAATTATCTTTATTATTATGAATCTCCCGTAGGAGTTCTATTAAGTCGGCTAGATCGGCGCGACGTACGTCTCTATAGACGGAGGAAAGGAAGAAGGAGGGAGGGATACCGGCGGAGCGGGGGGAAGATATCGTAAAAAATAAAAAAAGAATTAGGGGAAGAAGGAGAAAGGATAATAAATTAAAGGTAAAAATAAAAATTTAAATTAATAATAAGAAAGGTAGGCTAAAGATTAATAAAAATATAATAATTATAGGGGGGGGGTTTCGAAATAGGATACCTAAAGAGGAAAAAAAGAGGGAGGAAGGGAAACGTATCGACGATATAATTAGATATACCTTTACGGCTAACGCTTTAGGAAAGCGCGTTTTCCCGTATATATATAAAGCTATAATAAAAGATACGTTAATTTATAGCTTCTTATTAGATGCTCTTAGTAAAGTAATAAATACGTACGTTTACGGACTCGTAATTAAACGTAGGCTAGGGTAGGTATTATCGAGACTTTCCTAAGTACGGTACTTACGACCTAAGTAACGTATTCGACTCTCTCGTTCTCGTCCGACCTCCCCTCTTATTTCTTACTATTCTACGGTTCCGATCTATTTCCTTTCTTCCTTTCCTTAGGTCCTCTATTTTCGTTTCGGTTCGTTTTTCGATTTTTCTTAATTCTAGATTTATAATTTTATCGTTCCTATCTTTCTTTCTTTTATATATATATATATAATAAACCCTACCATCTAAAAGTAACTCCTTAAACTAAATCAGGCGTCCGTCCTTAAGCTATTCGAATAGCTTAAGGCTACGGGGATTACCGACGAAGAAA